AGTTACAAATTAAATTTTACCAAAATTATGTTTACCAGAGTTATGAATTAAATTCTACCAAAATTATGTTTACCCAATGTATCATGCACAATTTTAGGCAGATCCAAAATTAAAAATTAACCTTGTAATTTAAGAAATCGCTTCCATTGAGAACTTCATCAAAGAGTCCTTGTTTGCTCCTATTTTATTTGGTTAAATAACGTGATAGCACCTTTGATATTTCCAACTTTACATAATTTAATATAATCTTTATTGTTAATTATATGACATCGCACACATAAATAAATTAGATCATGAGCTAGGTGCGAACTATAAACTAATTAATTAATATAAATCAATAGCATTATTGTAAAGTATCTATTATGAGCTGTAAAAAATTTTTAATTTGGGAGGTCAAAATAAGGGATTTTATCAAAGTATAAATAATCCTGGGCAAAATTAAGGATAAATTTAGTTAATTCAGTACCATTTATAAAATACTTTACTATTTTCTCTTAGAACTATTAGTTTGTATTATTTTAGTACTTATATGAAAATTACTTTATTCTGAATTTATTTAAAAAATCATCTATTTTCTATACTTCTTGGCTAAACACTGTGGAATAAAATTCTTTTTTTTCATCATCTATATTGTCCATTGTTCATATAAAATCAGGGTCACGATGAGACATTTCATCTTGAAAAAATTTTTGTAATATTAAATTTTCTCTAGACTTTTTGTTAGTTTGTTCTATCATAGGGTTGTTAGTTATCCATACTGGATAAGTACATAAACACTCTATTGGAAACGCACCAGAATATTTCTAATCTATGACTCCTGTTATTTCATCATTCTTGACAAGAATGTTTGACATGTGAAAGTCTATATGCATTAATACAAACATGTCATTTCCATCATCCTAAAAATATTTTGGTACCAATTGATATAGTTCTTCATATTTTGGAATCAAACACTTTTGCTTTTTTGTAGATTTAAACATGCTATAGTAATGCATCTGATTTCGAATAACTGCTAAGATATATTCCTTTGTTGTTTTGAAAGGACCCCATTCCATAGTGGGTAAAGTTGCTCGCTCACCAGTAAAAAAGATACTTTCAATCACTTGACCAATTTTAAATTGATCATTTTTACTATCGAAAAAAATGCTACCAATTTTTGAAAACATAAGTTTTTTAAGTACCAATTGAATGTCAATAATTTTTAAAAGAAATAACTTCTTTTTTTTTATGCTGAGGTTACTCCATATTTCACAAAGACGAATACTAGGTAAATACTCTATTAAAATATATTCTGTTCCTACCAGATTATTGACAGAACTATTCCAATAATAAACTTTGGGAACAGAGATATGCGTATTTAAACGAATATACTCTATAACTGCCACCTTACTTTCTGTCTTCCATTGTGGATATACAGAGATTGCTAATCTTCCAATATATTCTTTACTATCTTCTATCTTTAAGATATATACTTTATGAAATCCACCTTCATTAAATTCTTGTATAGAGGTGCATTGTACTTGAAATACATTTGAAGCTGACTTTTTTAAAGCATCTAAATTAACATTTAGTACAATAGAATTTTCTAAATCACTTTCATAGCTAGAAGAATTATTTGACATTTTCCAGTCTTAAGTTATATACAATTTTTAGATTTAAATTTAAACAATATAGGGCTGTTGCCTAACAAAACCATGCTTAGTATATATATATTTTACATGTAATGGTTTTGCTAGGTATTAGTGCGAACTAAACAGATAATATAAATAATTCATAGATTATTTTAATAGATTTAAAATTTCCTATAGATTATTTATTTTATCTACTATTGCTAGACAACAATTCATAAGGTTTTTTACAAGTCATTTGTATTATTCTAAAATTAAGAACTTAATTAAAAAATTCGTAGAAATGCAATTTAAAAAAAAGCGATTGAATTTTTAAAAATAGTACAATTGATAAACAAGAATCTTTAATATAAAATATTTTTATTTTCTATGAATAATTCAGAAATTAAATCATTAGTCCAAAAATTAGAAAAAAGTATACAAAAGGGACTTGAATTACATCAAAAATAGCACAACAATTTGTCTGAAGTTACTTAAGATACCTTGGCCAAAACTTCCCAGTTTGAAGGAACTTTGTTATGCACAATTTCTCGAGACAGACATAATTTTGGTAGAATTTAATTCATGACTCTGGTAAACATAATTTGGTAAAATTTAATTTGTAACTCTGCTAAACATAATTTTAGTAGAATTAATTCATGACTCTGGTAAACATAATTTTGATAAAATTTAATTCGTAACTCTGCTAAACATAATTTTGGTAAAATTTAATTCGTGACTCTGGTAAACATAATTTTGGTAGAATTTAATTCGTAACTCTGGTAAACATAGTTTTGGTAGAATTTAATTCGTAACTCTGGTAAAACATAATTTTGGTAGAATTAATTCGAACTCTGGTAAACATAATGTTGGTAAAATTAATTCGTAACTCTGGTAGATTTAATTCATAACTCGGGTAAACATAATTTGGTAGAATTTAATTCGTAACTTGGGTAAACATAATTTTGGTAGAATTTAATTCGTAACTTGGGTAAACATAATTTTGGTAGAATTTAATTCATAACTCTGGTAAACATAATTTTGGTAAAATTTAATTTGTAACT